AGGGGACGGGAGGGGGGGGGCAAGAAATAACAAAGCAGCTTCGGAAAGAGGGAAGCCTCTCCGCCCGCCCTCTAGCGCCCGACGCCTCGGTATAGAGAGCGGGCTCTTCTGTAGCCGCGAGTAGGGTCTCCGGATAAAAAGGCACGGAGCGCGCGCGGGGAGGGGGTCTCTGCTTTTCCCTCTCCGCCTTATGGGGGTCCTCTGTCAACCGCTCGGGCTTCGGCTTGCCGACGGGAGGACGCGCCGCTGTGCGAGACGGAGGGGGTCGCGCCGGTGTTGGCAAGGAGGTTGGGCCCAATTTGTCTCTGGGACCTGTAGGGCCTCGGAATCTGCATCTGCCCTGCTGGCTGAGCTAATGAGCCTTTTTTCCTTCTTTCTCTCTTTTTAAGCAGGCTGGTTGCGGAAATGCCATTAAACGTGTGCCCAGTCTCCCTCCCGAGCCTTAGAAAAAACGGAAGGAAAGTATTTCCCGCCTAGATTTCTCCCCCTCCCCCGAAATTTCATGGAAAATACTGTAGTTAAGGTATTTTCTCTCTTACTCTCTTTTTTACTCTTCCTAGTAGCACTGCGAAATTTTCCTCGCACCAGCAGAAATTTACACAGGAGCACATGGAAAATTTCTGGGAAGTTACCAGTTATCTATTACCATCCTCTGTTAGGCAGTTTCCTTGCACATGTAATGATGGCTTTTTATTCTTGGATGTGAAGATCCTTATCCCAAAAAAAATCTTGGAGATATACCATTGTATTAAAAAAAAAAAAATTAAAGATTTCATCAGATCAAGATCAGTGAGGAACCCCGGTGAGAGATCCCTGTAGGAACCCAGTATCATTGTTTGCTTTGTTTGTTATTTCCCAGACCTGGGATTTCATTTCTTTGTGGTCCCCTGTCTAACTACCAAGCAGGTCCAACCCAGCTTATATTTTGTAAGGTCAGCCAAGGTTGGTTAGTGGTGCCATCTACTGTGACACTTGCATACCTACCCGAGTTTTTAAATTTGAATAGATTTGTAAAGAGTTAGAAATTTTGTTATTTTGAGTGTTATTATAAAGAAGAGGCAGTCACATAACACTTTTAAGGAGAAAAAAATATATGAGGTTGTCAGCACTTCCTGCTAATTGTAAGAGCATTGGTCCACTTTGGGCCCTTTTAGTCCTTTGCCACAACCATAATAGCTCATGCTGTTCTATGCAAGGATAGGATTTCTAGTATTGTTGCCTGTAACTAAGCACAGGTGTCTGCAAGTAACCACAATGACAATGAAATGACACAGCACAAACCCTGCTTTAAATCTCAATGTCGAATGAGTACATAAGTCATGGGATTTGTGTCATGACATTACAATGCATATTTCATCACTTACCTCATCCTATAGTGCCTACGTATCTAAAAGACACATGCAGTATACTGACACACTTAGGAGTTGTGTATGTGAGGAGAATTGTAAAAGTAAGTGGAATGCACTGGGAATGGGTTACTTAAGAAATACATCTATTAGAACCAGAGGCAAGGTGAAGAATGGATGAATGATGAATGAGTGTGGATTGAATACAAAAGTCTGAGCTGTACCAAAGATGTAGGAGTTGAGATGGTTTGGTCATATTGAGAGAATGAATGAGAGTTAAATAGCAAAGCAAATACATGAAAGAAAATTGAGTGGAGTGGAGGGTAAGACTGAGAAAGTTGTGGTTGGATGGAATTTATGAGATCCGGAAGAAAAGAAAGATGAGATGTTTAAAGAATAAAAGGCATACTTGAAGTGGTATATGAAAGAGGTGGAAACAAGGGTGGTTGGCAAGACCAGCGCGGTATGATAAGGTAGAACTAATTGTATTGATGTAAATTAGATTTAACCATGTTTCCTTCTATTTCCTATCATGTGAATTTGGCATACTATTTCTTTGGCTTACTATTTCTTACTTCCCTTCTGCACTTTGTGCAACATTGCTTGCCCTGGAAGAGAATAGCAGGATGACTATGTTTCTGTATATAAGGAAGAAAATAGATCCTGTATAAAAGTTTTATATTTCCACAAATAATCTAGAAACCCAGAAGTAAATATTTTAAGACAGAATGCCAGCGTTGCAAATTAAAACAGTACAGTGTATAATTTCTGTTCTTTATATAGATTCCCTTATCAACTTGAAACAGTCTACATGCTTACTCTGAAGTAAGTTCAACCATGAGGGATTCATCCTAGAACAGCTAAAATCTAGTAGCTCTTTGTTGGAAGCATTTCCCATTGAAATAAGTAGCACTTATTTCCAAGTATGCTTAGTTCGTTACTGTAATTGTACTGACTGTTACAGCCTTAGTTATTTAATGAAGGCTTCATGAGCACAATACTTATTTTCTCACATATGTCTGCAGGTTGCTAGGCTGTAATAATAATACTTAGATGGCAAACAGTGCATTTCAAGCATTCAAAATACTTCCTATATATTATCTCTGTAATTCTTACGATAGCCTTCAATACTAGGAATGGGAAAATGCTTGACAACTGGTTACTGCACTTTTAAGATTGGTTTAGGAGCAGCCAAAGACTGCAGGAATGTGGACAAAGATTCCAGGTAGTGGAGATGGGGGGGGGGGGGTATTTCAGAGAAAGAGGTAATTAGATCTAAATGCAGCTATGTTGCACTTGTTTTCTGCCCAAAAACAGAGGGAAACCATGCCTATATTTCTGGATGGCTTCCTCCCCAAATTCAGCAGACCCATTACTGGGGCAGCAAAAGAGAGCTAAACCAAGTTACTTTATTTAATTAGTGTTGGAGTTGGAGCACAGCATGAATTAGATTGTGACTAATAGCTTGCTTAAGGCCACTTACTGGCAGTATTCACACAGCACAATAAGCCATGGTTGATTAACCATGGTTTGAATCAACAATTGGCTAGGTTGCACACCATGGTAAATCATTAATTGGCTTCCAATAGCAGGCTAATCCCCATACCAGCCGCATCATGGCTTAACCTATTGGGTCAACCCACTCCGTGAGGTAGTGACATGAGATCACCGTTCTCGGGAGAAAAACCACTGAAGACAAACAGAATTATGGCAGAAGATGGTCCGGTTTTTAGCTTTATTATAGACCTGGCCCAGCGCTGTCTGTCTCCGCGCGCCGCCATCCACTCGAGCGCAGTCTCTTTCCGGCTGGCCCATCTTGGCACGGATGGCTAGCTAAGGGCGATCTAGATTGTACGAGTATTTTTCTCTTCCGCGCGTCTCCCGTCCCAGTCTGCTCCGGCATTCGCTTTCGCAATAGTGGCGGCGCCTGAGCTTTATTGCTCGGTTCCCACTCCTCCGGGCTGTAACCTGGCCCAAAAGGCATCGAAATCAAGCGCAGTTCCCACGACCCTCTAGCTTTGCTAGAGATCAACGTCCGGAAGCGGTTTCCTAGAGGCAGCCTTTTCGCTGGCCCCGGCCTCGGGGACGAGTGGCTGATTCTCCTTCCTGTCCCTTATGGGCGGAGGGAAGAACAAGAGAAAGTGATTCAAGGCGAATAAAGGAAACAGGAGTTTCCCTGCCCTCGGCCTCCCCCCGCGCCCCGCCGCCCGTTTCCTTTCCTTTCCCTCCCCCCGTTCCCAAGCGCGATCTTCAGCAAATCACAGCGGGAGCGCAGGGTCTCCCCTTCCTTCCTGTCTCAGCATCTGCCGAGACGACCGGGAGCGCCGAACCCATTCGCTGCTCTCGCTGTCAGCCCATCCGGGCTCCGTCCAGTGGAAGGGAGCGTGCTGCGAGAGACCTTCAAGCCTCTGTCGTCTTCTCTGCTGTCGCCGTCATGTTTCCCCTGCCGTCTGCTTTAAAAGAGGCGAGGGAAAAGCCAAACGCTCCGGCATCGGGAGGCGGGGCGTACGGCCACTAGCCTAGGTAACGTGTTTTATTGAATTAAAGCTTGGGGAACTTAACTGCACAGTCTCACCCTCCTAAAAAGTAAATCGTGACAATAAAATCAAAATGGTTACTCTAAAAATAAAGCTGCTACACTTCTTGAGTCAATCACTTTCTCTAACTCCATTTTCTTTTCCTACGCAACGACCTCACTGGAACCTTTTTCTTAAGTAAGCCACTTGAGGCATGCACCTGGGAATTCCTTATTTACTTTGTAATCTGTAATTATTAGTTTATTTTAATCTATTTATTGCTTGCTTATTTATCTTTTGCCAGAGACAACTCCCAAATATGTGAAAAGGATCCATTCAAAGCATACTAAAATCAAGCATTTTTTTAGAAACGCAAAGTCAGCAGCAGCAATAAAGTCGAATTAGAGCAGTTCTGAATACCTCTCAAGGTTAACCGGATGCTGGAAGGGGAACTACGGATCACACCTATTATCTTCAAAAGCTTCCTGATAATTCTCTCTTGAATGCTTCCATAAGGATCTACACTCAGTGGAGTTCATTACAAGTATATAGATTATTCATGGAAATTGTAGGAGATAAAAACCCTTCTAATAGGACCATTCCAATTGTGCACACAGTGTCTAAAGTGGCTTCTCAAAACCTGTGTTGTTAACCTACCCGTGTT